GCGCCCGCAGCCCGAGGCTTCGGCGGGACATGGCTTTGTGGCCGCGACCTCCTCTCGGCTGGTCTAGGCACCGCTGGGGCGCGCGGTGGCAGCTGTTGCCAGAGCAGCTCTCGGGGTGGCAGGCGGGCGCTGCGTCTTAGAAGTTGGGGAGTTCTTAACTTTCCTCTCCCATTAGCCCTGCCTATTTGGGGCTTTTTAGGGGCGAGGAAAGCTTCACGTGGCTTTGAGAACAACCTTCGCCCTACTGGGCCCCAATCTGGGGAAGGCGGATCCCTTTCGTCTGACCCTCCAGCAACCTGTGGGCAGGGCTGGGAAAGTTCCTCAGCTGCACTTCTGGGGAACGTGCAGGCTGCGCCCTGCTTTTTCAGTCGGGCAGTTTGGCGGCCCAGGGCTTGAAGGAATCAGTTCACAGTCTCTGCTTCCGAGATGGCCACGCTACCAGCAGAGGATGAGGCATCCAGAGTCATGGTAGAGCTCATACTCTGCCCACATGCGCTCCTCCTGCTTTGCCCTTCTGTGATTCCTCAGGGATCAGCACCCCGTGCCCCAGGCGATTTAACCTAAATCTATTTGCTGCTGCTAGAAACTTTGGATCGTTTGTTTCTCTTCTTGGGTTGGAGCCACCACTGGAGTGTGATTCACGCAGGGTTGAAACTAGATACCCCCTGATCCCCTGTGGTGTCCCCATTTCTCTGCATGGCTAGTTGAAAGTGACATTGTGAAGTAGGCAAAATTATGTCTTGGGTGACACTGGCAAAGGGTGCCCTAGGTGACATTGTGAAGTAGGCAAAAGGCATCTTATTCACTCAATAGCATTGATTGAGCCCATCTTATGCGTCTGGTACCAGTGCTACAAAGACAGTTAAGAGCAACTCCTCCCACAGACCTAGAAGGGACAAAGCCCTGTGAATAAACTGGTAGGTGAAAGTTGCCACTAATTCTGTAAATAGAGCTATGATTAAAGGAAAGTGGGGACAGCCAGATATGGTGGGCAGGGCTGTGATCCCAGAAACTCTGGAGACTGAAGCAGGAGGATTACAAGTTCAAGACAAGCCTGGGCAATTTAGTGACAGTCTGTATCAAAATAAATGGGGAAAAAAATGAGGGGGGAAAAAAAAAGAAAGAAAAGAAAGGGATGAGGGTGTATGTCAGTGGTGAGCTCTCCTGGGTTCAATCTCCAATACAAAAGCTTAGTCCTTGTCCCCATACCAATCCAATAACAAAGACATGGTTTTGAGAAAAAGGAAAAAGAAGGTTTATTGCTTTGCCAGCAAAGGAGAAACACAGGGGACTCCTCCATCAGCAGGAACAGGGGGCTCTTAAAAAGGTAATTCAAAGGCTGCATTCCAGGTGTTCTCTGTTGGAGTTGTAATTCACCTGTTAATTTGGGAGTAGTCATTTCTGACATCTTTGGTACCATCCCCAAAGTCTGAATTACTTCGTTCCTATGGCAGGTGTGTACTCAAGGGCAGATAAATCTGCCTAGGATGGGGAAGAAAGGTAATCCTATTTTCCCTGAGAGATTAAGGAGAGAGGAAGAGAAAGAAACATGTCCATTTTAAAAATAAATCAAAGTGGTAGAGCAGCAAGGGCTACATTCAAAGCATAAAGTGGACCCCTCTTAATCACCAAAAAGAGAGAGTGAGCAGGAACGGTTAGAAGGTGACAAGCCACCACTCAGCCTCCACTTTTGACTTGGCCTTTCTTCTCAACTTCATTGAGGTTTCAAGGGATCGTGGGAAGAGACAACAGGCAGCACTTTTTCTAGAAAAGGAACTACATTTGTAATTGTTAGAAAAACATAGAGCAAGTAAAAGAACATCAAATCCCCGTTCAAATTGCAAGTTACAATTTTGCTATCATGTTGACATTCATGTAATGAAGGAAGGAATTGAGGACATCGTAGCAATTGCACACTTTCCTTCAAGTTAGCAAATAAACAAGAAGGAAAATCATGAACACTTTGGTTGTGTCACGTAGGGAAGAGAACCACATTGGGACATTTGAGGAAGTTGTGCCACCCCAAATACTTCAGCCATGGTGCCATGTTTCACGCTCCTCATCCTACTAACCCTTATTATCCAAGGAACAACGAATTCTGATGAAATAATATATATAAACATGTCTGATGTCAACTATGTGGCATTCATCCATCAATTATTTAGCCATTCAGTGTTTGTTGCCTACCATGATCCAGGCACAGAGATGCCGTCACAGACCTGGCTTCCAACAGGGGGAGCAATTACTTAGATGACAAATTAACTGGATCAAGAGGCTTTCAACTTCAAAGACATTGCTGTTTGGGATCAGACAAGTCTTTGTTGTTGGGGGATTTCCCTGTGTACCCTTCACCCACTGGATGACAGTAGCACTCCCCACCATTTGTGAACCCTGAACATGTCTCCAGACATTGTCAAATGTTCCCTTATGGTGCAAAAATGCCCTAGCTGAGAACCACTAAATTACGTGATGACAAAGCTTTACTTTAAAGTGAGCTGGTTTTATATATCTGGGAGAGAAATGAGCAGCAAAAGTCACTCATTTTCAATCTAAGGTGAAGGGGACCAAAGAATGTGTCAGCAATGAAACCTTCTCATACTTCTATAATGAACTTCCCGGTTTGGGGCTACTCATCATCCATTACTTTAGTTTTGGTACCAACTTTTCATAAATCTAGACTCTACTGGTTTAGAGGTTTTAGTGAGTAAAGATGGAGGTATGGTCCCACCATGACACACAATACAGTGTCCTGAATTGGAATTTAAAAACACGATCCTTTTTTGAGTTCCTCTGGGGGAAAAAAAAAAATGGGTAAGAAAAGGATTCTAGTGTTGTTAGAGTAATCTAGCTTGTCTATCGATAAAGAAATAGCACTGCTGCATAACTGGAGCTGAAGCCTAGAGGGAATTCAGGGGAGTCCCTTGGGTCACCATATACTAGGAACAGTAATGGAAGTGCTGAAACCTCACCCAGGCAGCTCTGCTGGGGAGTCCGGCTCCTGACCGCAATGAGCAAAGAACCCCAAGCAGCTGAGACGCCCGCCCAAAGCAAGGGAAGGTGGAAAGAAAGTGGAAAAGAGAAGTCGTAAGTATCATCTACAGCCAAGTGACCATGGGACAGTGGACTTCATTGGCTTCTATGTTTCTTGCCTTGCTGTAACATACATATGGTGAATTGAAATTTTTAGAGTTCTATTATGTACTATGCCAAATGTAAACCTGTTTCTTTCCCAAAAGAGTAGAGTTAACTTAGACTCAAACAAAGATCCATTGGTGGTTAAAAAAAAAGGCGTGCCAAATTTAAGGGTATTTTATCTTACTTGGGAAATCTTTACCATCCTTTACCTCTTCCATATCCTCCCCTTCCTCAGGCTGTTTATGTACTAACATGGTATTAAGTAAGGGGCTCAGTGAATTATTCTTTGGACCTTTTGGTCTCCACTAAGATGTGGTTTGTCTCATCCAGCTGTCAGGAATTACAATGCACAGTTATCTGCTGTTGATGTCTGCAGCACCGCCATGACCTAAGGTTAAGATTCCCACGTGCTCTGTGTATTAATTAGGGTAACGCCATTCACGGTGATAAGTGAACTCTGTGTGTTCAATGGATTTATGCAATGCAGTGTGGGCATTCTTCTTGGTAAGTGGCTTCCTTCCATATGGATATCTAGGAACTCAATGTCCTTTCATCTGCGGCTTCACCATACACTAAGGCAGAAGTTCCCAAACTGAGGGCCAAAAACTTTAATAGCAGTGATTTGATCAGTGTCCAACAGACAGCTGTGTTTCCCTGAGAAAGTTAAAAGTATCCCAAAGAGCCCTTTTGGTTCATTGTAATATGTTCCGCTATTATTGTTTTCTATGAATATTTGATGGATTCTTAGATACCCTCTGTGAATTCACTGTGGTTGCCAAATTGTATGTAGGAACCATGACCATTGGCCTTGAAATCTTTTCTTTCAGCCACAGAGAAGGCAAAGAGTATGGAAAGAGCAAACACACCTGCTTCTTAATCAATTCCACTCACCTTCTTAATCAATTCCACTCACCTTCCATCGGTAAGAACTGAACGTATTGTCACACCTGGCATGTCACCTCTCAATACAGAAGAGAACAAGAGAACACATCTTGGGTAAGCAGCTAGCTGTTTCTGGCACATTGGGCAACCTCTCCATCCTGACTTAGATCCTACTTGGGCTTTTGGTTCATCTTTATACCCTTCTGAACCCTGGTATAGTGGCAGTAGGGGGCTTAAAGTTACTCTGGCCTAGTGATCATCAATCAGTAAGTCTGCCTTAAGTGTCATCTCCCTAAACACCTCCCCTAGCCATTTTAAATCCCTGGTGCCATGGGGGACACAGGGCTCTTTTTCAAGACTTGCAAGTTCATGAGCTACACTGGGGGAGGTTTAACTATCATCTTCTCTGCTCCCATAATTCTAGACCTACTTGGCATTTCTATTACTAAACATTTCCACACCCTGCCCCACCCATCTGTAGGTGACTCTTCCCCTAGAGGATGGTTGGTGCTGGGCTTTCTCACCGATCCTCTGTGCATCTCTTACCAGTTTTTTAGACTTTTTTTTTTTTTACTTCTGTGGATAAGAACAAATTCAATATTAGCATACCTTCTTATTCCAATTTATGGTTCTTCAACATACTGTATACCATCTTATCTCAGTCTGTCTTTCCATTTTTCAAACCAAGCTTTTGAATATTTTAAAACATTTTTTTTTCTCTCAATTGTATGGATCGTACATTTTAGTGCCTGTTGAAGACTAGTGTCTCTATAATACAAGACCTCAAAAAGCCACGAATCAGCCAGGCGTGGTGGCACACCCTTGTTATTCCGATGACTCAAGAGACTGAGGCAGGAAGATAGCAAGTTCTAGGCCAGCCTCAGCAAGTTAGCAAGACCCTAAACAACTTAGATCTTCAAAACAAAAAATAGTACTCTGGGTTCAATCCCTAGTACCTCTGTGCCCCTCTGCAAAAAGCCACACATCTTAATCTTTTATTTTCCAATATTTTAGTATTCTTCTTTGAGTTAATACCTTAGCCTCTTGGAAGGAATCTAATAATGGAAGTTTCTAAGTTAAACAAGAAATTTTCAGAAGAAAAATGCATTAGGTAATATTTTAGACTACTATCTAAGTAGTCTTATGTATATTTACTTCTGTAATTAATTTTTCCTTTTCTGTTCTTTTTTCCCCCCTTATTGTGTATATAGTTGTATTGGTAATTAAATAAACCATTTGGTGTATTGCTACAGAACCAAAGAAAGGATGAATACTCCTCAGAAATCCTGGGCTTGGGCTTTTTGCCTGTCCAACGTATTGCTCTGTTAAATGCTCACAGCTCTTCTTCCAATTTTTGTTTGTAACAGGGATTGAACCCAGGGGTGCTTAACCACTGAGCCACATCCCCAGCCCTTTTTATTTTTATTTAGAGACAGGGACTTGCTATGTTTGCTTAGGGCCTGGCTTTGAATTTGACATTCTCCTGCTTCAGCCTCCCAAACCTCTGGTATTACAGGTGTGTGCTACTTTGCCCAGGTTCTTTTAGGTTTTAAGAAAGAATTTAAGCCTTGATGATATTGGAATAACAACGAATAAATACAAGGTGCTTGATAAATATTTGATGAATCTGGCTGGTCTTGATTTAATGAAGACAACAAGAAGAAAAGTCTTGGGCACTTATTTCTTGGAAAATGGCTAAAAATGAACCTTTATAGGCAATCCAGGGCCAAAACTCCAGATTTCTTTCTTGGAGAAGTTTATGTTTCAGTCTAGTTGTGTAAACTAGATGAATATCTCCTGGATATGAAGAATTGAGTTAGAAACTGTGCATATCAATCTTCCCCACAATTGTAATCTGAGAAGGAAGTCTGGTGTGCGGCCAAGAGCGTTTGAACATTCCGTCTGTTGAGCAACATGCTGTCTGCTAGCTCTTTCAACTTTAAGATGAGTGATAAGAAACAAGAACCAGATGACAGGAGTCTGAAAAATACTGCAGAATGACAGAGAGGGGGCATCATACTGCAATCTCTAATTTCTAAACATTTCCAATCTTAGGGATCAAAACAAAGTTTAGAAGACGTTTAGGCATCTTCCATAGCATATGAGAAAATATGGCCTCTATTCACTAAGAAAGACCATTTATAAAGAGAAACAGATTGTGTACAATTAGAAAAATGAGAAATCATACCCCAATGATGCAAATGTATGAATTGCCCAGATCATTGTAATGTTATGTGTAGGAAATAATAATAAATATAATAATAAAGAGAAAAGGATTAAAAAGAAAATGCGTGAAATGAAAAGGGAGATGGGGATAGGACAAGAAGAAAGTTGATAGAAAACAAAGAGTTTAACAGTAGAATTAACATCGCTAAGAAGAGAAATTGACATGTTGAAAATGAAGTAATTTGAAGGACAGATTTGTTGAAATCTTCCAAAAAGTAGGAGGGTAAGACTTTTTAAAAATGAAAAAAAAAAAGAGAGATACCAAAGATTATAATTAAATGTAAGAATAATGTGTTCCTGGAGATGAAATGAACTAATTAGAATAGAAGCACCTCTCAAAACCCTATAAAGAAAATTTTCCCAAGCTGAAGAAACAGATCTAAGGGCTTCTCCCTGACGGTTGTGATGGGAGGTGCACACGTCACCTATGTGGTAGTCTTGGCAAAAAACATTCAACTTGCATCAAGTCAGGAGGACAAAAGTGGGCTGGGTCAGTTCATGGGTATGTGACAAGCTTTGAAGGGATCTGTGCTCAATTTGATGTCTGCTGTGACCATCTTGAAATTCTTAAATTTTTAGCAAAGTGGCTTTTCATTTTGCAGTAGGTCTTGCGATTTATGCAGATGTTCTGGAATCTGGCAAATCCAGATCGTAGGACATTCTACAGGACAACAGGTCTATATTCTTTTAAAATATCATTATTTAATGGGTACTCCTCCCCATAAAACACACACACACACACA